ATTTCCTCATATATATCTCTATCCTATTGGTTTTATTATTCTGGAGAACCCCAACAAATACAGTACACTTACTTTTATCTGGTCTTTTTGGTGTAATTTAACAATCTGTAACTTGAGCATTACGTATCTCCACATAATTATTAAAACTAACATTTCTAGAATAAAGTCAAGATCAAGTTTAACTATTTTTCACTGAATTTTAAAAGTATCATGACTGCCCTGACTGATGTGACTTGGTTGGGCATCATCCCACAAAGCAAAAGGTCACCAGTTAAATCCCCAATCAGGGCACATGCCTAGGTCGCAGGTTCTGTCCCCCATCAGGGTGAGTACAGAGGCAACAATTGGTGTTTCTTTCACACACTGATGTTTCTCTCTCCCACTTCCCCATCTCTAAAAATAAATAAATTTTTAAAAATTAAAAATATATCAGAGGCCTGTCTGAAAAAAGTCCAATTGTTAATATAATGAGAACCGTTTGGGCGATGTTGACGTAACCTGGCAGCCAAGGAGAGTGGACTGGAATGCGCGTGTGTGACCGATGACAACTTCACTGTACTAGTTAGTGGGGGTGGTAATCACGGTTGAATGGCCATGGCATTCAAAATAACTGAGCTAGTAGAGCAACCAATCTACATCAAATATTGTGTTAAGCTTAAACACTCCTCTGGGGAAACTACTAGGATGTTTTAGAAGACTGCAGCTATGTGCAACTGGTGATTGGCAGCTTCATTACAAGACCACACCCGCTCATGCATCATGTCTCATGCAGAGTTTTTTGGTAAAACATCAAATCACTCAGGTTACTTGGGCCCACTACAGTCCAGATTTGGTGCCCTGCAACTTCTGGATTTTCCCAAAACTAAAATCACCTTTGAAAGGAAAGAGATTTCAGACCACTGAAGAGCTTCAGGAAAATACAAGGAAGCTGATGTCAGTGACTGGGAAAACTGCGTGAGGTCCCAAGGTGCCTAAATTAAAGGGGACTGAGGCATCATTGTTCTATGTTTCTTGTATCTTATTCATTAAATGTCTCTACTTTTCGTATTACATGGCTGGATACTTTCTTGACAGACCTCATATATAATTTATAATTATGGATTTACTATACAGGACCTCTTGCTACATCCAGTTCAGTTTCTGAAAAGCTGATTATTGGTCTTATCCATTTTACTCCTAATGGCCTACCACCCATTTAAATAACTACAAAGATCATAAACTGTATAATTAGGCCAGTCACCATTTATATAGCCTAAATTTTATTACTTCAAAGAGCAATGGTTCTGAAGACTTGGCAAAAGACTTTTTAAAAACTTGTAGGAGACACCAAAGAGCTAGCGCGCGCACTCTCTCCCTCACGCGCTCTCGCTCTCTCCCCGCTCAAGCCACATGAGGACATGGAAGTAAGCCAGGAGGAGAGTAATCACCAAAAATCAACCGTGCTGGCACCTTGATCTTGGACATCTAGCTTCCTAAACTACAAGAAAATAAATTTCTGCTATTTAAGCCACCCCACCTATGGTATTTTGTTATAGCAGTCCAAGATGACTAAGACAACATGTAGGGTCTATTTTTAATCATTATTAAAAGAACATTAAAAAAATACCATGCCTTAATGATAGCGGAATAGTAGCCAAACTGGTACATCATTACAATATTGGTCACTATAGAGATTAGTATAATGTTTTGAGAATCATCTGAGTCTAGAATCAAAAATAACTCTTCAGAACTGCCTTAAGTGAAATAGCAAAATATTTTCCTATCAGCTACCAAGCAGCCTAAAATATCGTATCTTACTGTAACCTTTATTTAATGGCATTTGTTTGTGAACACTGTACAGAAAAAGTGATTTGTATGCTACTTCAAAAAACATTCAAAATCATTATTTAAAAAAAATAAAGTTCTAGAAAAAAATATTTAAAAAAATAAAGCTCTAGGCTCTGGCCAGGTAGCTCAGATGGCTAGAGCAACATCCCAACATACCAAGGCTGAGGGTTCAGTCCCCAGCCAGGGCACATATAAGCAATCAACCAATGAATTCATAAATTAAGTGGAACAAATCAATGATTCTCTCTCTCTCTCAAAATCAATAAATAAAACTTTAATAAATAAATAAAATAAAACTCCACACTATGTTCTACAACTCACTAGTGCTAAACAGATCAAATACTAAATACTTCTATGTACTTTTCAATCTTATGGTAAACCTAAAACTACTGTAAAAATCAGTCTACTGTAAAAAGTTTTTCAATAAATATTAAGTTTTTTTAAGTAAATATTAAAGAGCAGTGGGCCTGAGTTGCCATAACTGTCACGTTCATAGTGAAGAAAATGTGCACGAAAACCTCATGTATTAACATGATTTGTGAAGCAAATGAGGTTCTAGATGGTTGTCTATTTCTGAACACAACATGTAACCAGGAAAATATTTTTTTTAGTTCACTCAACATATTACAAAAAGGGAGAAAGGAGTAGATTGTGCAGTACAATCACTGATGACAAGTTCTTATTGAATTTCTTTTGTTCTCCAATATTCCCGATATTCATAAATTTCACAAACATGGCAATGATAAAGGAAATGTTAAAATAATTAAATTCGCTCATATAACACAGCAGTAGTTTTAACTTTTTGGGCTGTAGTTATGTGTCTGTGGATATATTTAAAACTAGCCAAAGTTCTTGTAATTTTTAAAACTTGACATAATTTAACTCTATGTTTGATCAGTAATAGTCTATAATATTTATTGTTAGTACTCATTGAGTTAATATACCAAAAACTCTTCATCAATTCCCATATTTTGTAATTCAAGTAGGCATTTGTTTTTTTTATTTTTGTTTTGTTGTTGTTATTATCATTGTTCCCCCCTTTCCTCCCTAGGCATAAATAACTCTGCAATAAACATTTTGGTGACTAGAGCAATTGGACATTGAAATCCACTGTGTTTCTAACATAGGTAGGTGAGCAGAAATCAACTTCCAAGAGTATCTTTTTGGCCAAGAACCATGGGCCCCAATAATCTCTAAAAAACACAAATACTGGCATGGGCCCTCAAAAAATTCAATTTTAATGAACATTTCCAGAATGTAGAAAAGGTAAATAATATGAAAAGAGTCCCTTATGATTCAAAAGGACTACATCAAATTTAATTCCTAACTATCACTTATCACTTATTTTAAAACAAAACATCTAAGGCACAGAAACCAACAATATTTATAAGATACGCATGCAGTATTTTATTGTTGAATTTTTATTATAAATATTAAAAATATTTTTAAACATAATGATGCAATGCTAACTCATGACACAGAACTAAACAACCCACACTTAAGTAGTAAAAAACAGTGAAAAGGGGGGTTTATCTACCTACACACTTTCCTTCTTCAGAACTCCGAATCCTTTATTCTGGTTTCTATTTCTTTCTTTTTTGAGAGGAGTTTGAGAATTAGAAAACAGATGGAAACAAGTAAGTATATATAAGGTGAATTAGTTCTCTATAGCAAGACAAAAGCTTGAGTCTTTGTAATTCTCTCTTGCTACCTAAAATCTAGATATACTCCATAGTTTTGAAAGCAAGAACTTTTGATTATTAAATGGACAGGAGCACGAAAATATTTCTATGTGTATTGAATCCAGTTTGAACTTATCAAACAAACACAGAATTATTTCTATGATCTCTCTTCTATAACAGGATAACTTTGTTATATAGAATAGTATAAGGTATTCACTACTCTTTATTTGTATTGTGGTTATGTCAAATACTGAAGATAACTAAAGAAAAATATATTTTAGGAGCTTTATTTCTAAAATATGACTACCTGTCACCTTTTGAACACCAGTCTGTAATGTTTTAAGAAGAAAAGAAGAATGAAGGTAACACTTTATAGAAAAAGGTTGTGAAAAACAGTAAAGATGTTCCAGCACACTAATTTATACAGACTGAGATCCAAATTCAGGACCCCAAATAAAGAGAGTTCTCCATTTCTCGCCTGCAAGCATTTTAAAGCCTATATAACTGTTTCTGAAGCAAAAGTATTTCCCAACATCCACCAAGCCAAAAAATGGCACTATATGACTAAGGCTATAACTTTTTAAAAGCAAATTTCGCTCTGACTGGTGTGACTCAGTGGGTTAGGCATCATCATGCAAACTGAAGGTCGCCAGCTCAATTCCCAGTCAGGGCACATGCCTGGGATTGCAGGCCAGGTCCCCGGTTGGAGGTGCGTAAGAGGCAACTGACAGGTATTTCTCTCATACATCGATGCTTCTCTCCCTCTCTTCCCCCCCTCTAAAAATAAAAATACAATAAACATTAAATTTAAAAAAAAAATTTTTAAAGCAAATTTAATGCTTTGGTCATAACTACAATAAAATGATACCACTTCAGAGCCCTACTGCAATGAAAAGAATTACAGAAAGGTAAACGACTGAACTGAAAGGATATTTAGTGGGCCCTTAAATAATATTCTGAGAAATATAATACATCATTCTAGCATCCTTACAAATTAGCACAAAGCTGGGTAAATTTCATCCACAAAACTGGAAATGATTTCCACAGGTACGTGGAACTTGTCCAGGGAAAGGACCTCACCTTAGATTTATTCCAAAAGGGGCTCTCAACTGCTCTGCAGCAACTCCTGAAAGGAGGGCAGTCCAAATATAGTAGGATAAATCCCCCAAAAAGCTGAATCTCTGTTCATAGCAACAGGTGACCCCTGCTGTGAAGCTATAGGACAGGTATACAAATAAATTTGTATGACTTTATCTACTAAATTTTAAAAATGCAAATGTTAACACATAGGCATTATAATCTTAGCAATGAGCAGCAAAGATCTAAGGCCTCAATCTTAAATTAACTATACATTGGTATTATAAAACTACCCTTAATTTTGGATTATTAACTAAAAGTGGGAAGTCATAACAAGTCCTTTGTACTATAGCATTAAAAAATTGTATCTAAAATAACAAATCTTCAGAGAAATTTATGATAGATGTCTCTTACCTCATAAATGTTGGGGTGCCACATTTTGGTCAAGAATCTGAAGGTAGGTGGTGAATATGGGTAGTCAATAGGAAATTTAATATGCGCCTGAAAAGAAAAAAACACAAAATGCTAATAAATGAGACTACAGGTTATTCATCTGCCTAATAATTACCCTATTATACTTCATTGAAATGAAATTCCTTTGTAATAGAGTAGACTTTGGGGATTAAAATAGCTTATATATTTTGTTACCCCAATGCCACAGCTATTATTAGTATGTTCTTATTGCATCTTCTCAAATATCTGTAAGAGTTTATGTTAAATCAACAAAACCCAATAGCTACATAATTTTTTACTGATATCACATGAGTGAAAACAGTAATATGGACAGGTATGTCACATAAATTAAAATAATGTAACATTTTGGTACATAATATAGAACAAAGATTTTTTTTTTAAAGGTTTATTTTATTCTCACTCCAAGAGGGGAGGGGAGGGAAGAAGGAAGGGGAAGTCGGGGAAAGAGAAATACAGAGAGAAAGAGAAACATTAATCAGCTGCCTCCTGCACATGTCCCAACTAGGAATCAAATCCATAACCTAGGCATGTGCCCTGACCAGGAATCAAACTGGCAACCTTTGTGTTACAGGACTACACTCCAACCAACTGAGACACACATGGCCAGGACAGTAATTTTTTCACTCACATAATTTAACCATCACCCAAATAACAAATGCTACCATTTTCAAATAGCTCCTTCCAGTAGTTTCCTGATGCATACATATGCTTGTCTCTTTACAAACTTATTTTCAAAGATTTGAATATACTGTATTTTATACTGTTTTTCCATCTATATCATAAACATTTTCCTATTTCTTAAGTTCAAATGTATGATTGATACTATATGCATAATGTTGAATCATACGAATATAGAAATAAATCATTTTTTAAAAAATAATATATGGGTTTTTTCACACTTTTGCTATTGCAAATACTGTTGCACTGAATGGCCTTGTGTAACAGGGTGCAAAGCGGAATGCCCAAAATTAGCAGAATATTCCCCCACAAACCTGGTTTGGGAGAGGTGGGAGTGGATGATACAAGATATTGGCATAACAAAAGGCAAGTTAATAGTTGTGCTGCCACCCAGGGTAAAAGGTCTTAAGTGACTTTCATGGCGGGGTAGTTTATACAGTGACTGCGCAAGAGGCAGGGAGGTGGAGACTCCGATGTCACAGGGTACTCTTGTCCTACTAAAGATGGCGGCCAAAAGAAAGTAAAAGATATGGGGGAAATGGCAAAAGTAGCACATTGCTGGCAGGGATGGATATGAGGACACTGGCAAGTTCTAGGTCAGCATTTAAAAATAAGAGCGGGCTGAGAGAAGAGAGGCAGCCATGAGGAAAGAGTCAGGAAGTAGGGGAATTCCACCATGACGGCCAAAAGAGTAGGGAAGCAGCCATGTGGACTGTAGGGGGATTTGGCCATGAGGTCTGAGAGAGGAATCAGCAAGCAGCTATGCAGTTTGTAGTGATGCAGTCCACTACAAGGGTGGGTGTGTAAGGCAGAAGCCATGCCAGCCAGGAGTCAAGATTCTGCCACGTGGCCTGGTGCAATAAGGAAGAGCAGCAGCCTCTGAAAAGGTTCCCTGGTGTAGAAGGCTCCCACCTGCCCCAGCCATCCGACATGACGGTCTGGTGCGTAAGGAGATGCTAACTCAGTTTGGAGTAGGAGATGTCATGCAGTTTGGGATTAAGATCTGGGGTAAAGGAAGAGGAGACCTGCTGGAAAGCCTGCCTGGAAAACACTGCAGCAGAATTGATGGAGCTGTGCAGGAACCTGCCTAACCAAGCACGGATTAGGAAGATGCCTGGAATGCTAAACTGTGACCGGGAATGCTGAGCTGTGGACTTCCGCTTTTTCTGAAAGACATTACCTCTGACTGGCGTATTCTGAAACTGGCCTGGTTTGGCAAAGCAGGGGCAGGATTATGTGTTTTGGGGTGTTTTAAAGGGAGTGGGGCTTAACAGCAGAAACTGGCCATTATTCTAAACCTGTATGGCCTTAAATAAACAATCCTTTTCCTTTCTCACAGAACTCTTGCACCCGGAGTCACACTTCTTGGCAGCAGGCAATCAAACCTCACAGCTGTTCCAGAACAGCATAGGCGGGGTTCTGTAACACCTGGCCATATATCTTATTTCAAATAAAATGAAATCCAGAAAAAAATTTCATCTAACAATATCAGTAAAAGGGAGTGAAGAAGGGAATGAAGAACAAGCTAAGAGTAAATAAGCTAAAGACATTAATAAAAACGGTAGTGTCAGGACCCTCAAAAATTCTTTAATAAAAACATTGAGAAAATTGTCAAAAATTGTGAGAATCAACTTCTTCAGAATCTAGGAAGTAACCAAGGCTTGCAGCAATTCAGAGTATCTATTCAAGAAAAACAGCTGAACCTCAGTTAGAACAGTAAGTTCCATGGTATTTCAACTTGTCCTAGTCCCTGTCCTGCTCTCCAGAGCCATGGTAGCCTTAAACTACTAAGAGTACACACTTGAGGTAAAGACCAGCAGCCACAGAATGAACTGGCACTTCTTTCAGGCCATACTCCCAAAGAGCTGTCATTATTTGACCTTTCTGGAGATTCCTTAGAAGAACCCATTTTCCTGCCTGGTCAAACAATAAGACTAACCAAAAAAGCAGGGATCTGAGAAGTCCATAAAAGCTTTGAGAAACTCTGACAAATTCTTAAGAATCTAGAAGACCGGGACAATGCGGGGCCATGCATAGGCAATGTACAAACTCTATGCACATACTCAGGAAAGTCATGAGAAGTAATTAGAAGGCTGAACTTGAAGATCTGCACAATAAGGAAATTAATGCTAAGGTACAGTTCACAACTGCCTAGCTAAGTATTAAAGGCATGCCCAGACAAATACACAAAGCTCCTTTTCAATGCCTGGGAGAGGGCTGAGGGGAAAAGAGATCTATGGAAATCCCAGCTGCCTTCTTTCCAGAAATTAAAAGACTGGTACTGAATACTAATTCATGGGACCCAGAATAGCCAAAACAATCTAAAACTAACTAGAAAACTCAACACTTTTCAATTTCAAAACATACTACAAACCTACAGTGATCAAGACAGTTTGGTACTAGTGTAAGGACAATTTAATGGGATTTGAAAAAGGCTTTTCAACAAATTGTGTTGAGACAACTGGATATTCACATGCAAAAGAAATGAAGTTGTATCTTTCAAAACAGCCATAGACTCTTTTCCTCTTTTTTTTTTTTTATCTTCACCAGAGGATATGTTTGTTGATTTTAGAGAGAAAAGAAGGGAGAGAAGGTGGGGAAGAAGGGGGACGAGACAGAGGGAGAGAAAAACACTGATGTGAGAGAGAAACATCAATCAGTTGCCTCTAATACATGCCTCAACCGGGACTGAACCTGCAACCTTTTGATGCATGAGACACTTTAACCAACTGAGACACCCAGCCAGTGCCAGTCCAGCAGTTTCTTGAAAGAATAAACAGTTACCATGTGACCCAGCCAAGTCCACTACCAGGTGTATGCCGAAGAGAAATTAAAACATTACATCCACATAGTAACTTGTACACAACTGTTCACAGCAGTATAATAGCCAAAATGTAAACGCCCCAAATGTCTGTCAATTGAAAAATGGTAAACAAAATGCCATAGATATTCATACACTAGAATATTAGCTATGAAAAGGAATTAACAGGTGCTACATGTAGGTGAACATCAAAGCATTAGTTATGTGAGAAGCCAGTCACAAAAAAAACATAGTTATGAAATGTCCAGAAGAGTTTAGCATATCCCTAGGGCTGATGATGGAAGGTAACACTGTGAAGAAATAGAGGTGACTGTTCAAAAGTATGGGTCTTTTGAAGGGAAATGTTTGAAAATTGATTGTGGTGATAGTTGAACAAATTTATAAATATACCATAAACCAATGAACTGTGTATTCTAAATGTGTGAATTGTATATATGCATTAAAGTCACAATAAAACTTCCTTTTTAATAAAAAACTAAAGCACAAAAGTAGTCATACCCAATAGCAACAGCACATCTAGTTCCCAGATTTTGGTTTCTAAATATTATTCATTTTCTAGTAACAGGAACAAGGGCTTGTTGGAGAAACACTTGACTCTAGAACCAGGACAGAAAAAATATAAAATGAGCCTGGAACATCTTATAATGTCTCAAAGTGAGTTTGATTCCCTTTCCTTGTGAGTATGGGGATACACTTAACGATTCAATTCCTAAGAATAAAGTACGGAAAGGAAGAAAGAGTAACCCGACGGTGGAGGAAACTGGCAGCACCACCTTAACGAAGTGACCAAGGTTAACATCACCAATGCTAAATCATGTTGAAATCATGACTTCCCTGATATGATCTAGTGAGAAAAACAGTTCATCTCTGTAGTGTTCTTATTCCAAAACAGGCAACTCCAGTCTAATGATGAAAAAAACATTAGACAAACCCAAATGGAGGGATATTCTACAAAATACCTGACCAGTTCTCTTCAAAATTATAAAGGTCATGAAAAACAAAACAAAATATGGAGAAATCATCAAATACTGAAGAAGTCTAAGGAGACATGAAAATTAAATGCAATATGTTATCCTGAATTGGATTCAGGAATAATAAAGAGACACTGGAGGGTGGTAGGAGGGATGGGGCATGACTACTAAAGGAGTACGGGATTTCTTTGGAGAGGTGATGAAATGCACTGAAACTAGATGGTGGTGATGGTTGTACAACCTTGTGAATATACTAAAAACCATTGAACTGTACACCTTAAAAGGATGGATTTTATGATATGTGAATTAGAGCTCAAATTTTTTTAAAAAGGACACTAGTAGAAAAACTGGTGCAGAAGGGAAAAAAAGGCAAGGGAAAGCAATAAAGCCAGAGTGGCTACATGAATATCAGAGACAGTATACTTTAGAATAAGGAATATTATCAGGGATAAAAAGAGGGCAATTTCATAATAATAAGGGAGTCAATTCGCATTGAAAAACATAATTCTAAATATGTACAATATACACCTAACAGAATTTAGGGTACAAAATAACCA